AAACAATGAGCCTCAAAAAGCAATTGAAATAATCACAGAAATGCAACAATTTGGATTGAACCCTGATTCTACAACCTATACTATTATACTTAAGGCATGTACTGATTTTAATTTGTTTGAAGAAGGTAAATTGATTCATGAACAAGCAATAGAAAATGTTAAAGATTGCTCTACTGAACTTTTGACATCAATTATTAGTTTTTATACAAAATGTGGACATCCAGAGGTGTCAATTGGAGAATGTGAAAAATTACAATCGAAGGGATTAATGAACAATGTTGCTGTTTGGAATTGTTTAATTCAAGCACATATTCAAACTAAGGAAGTTCCAAAATCAATTAAAATAATCACAGAAATGCAAGATTGTGGTGTTGAACCAAACTCTACCACTTTTAACATTTTACTCACAGCGTGTGCTGATTCAAAATTGTTTGAAGAAGGAAAGGCAATTCACAAACTTGCAACTGGCACCTTGAAAGATCACTCTTCTGAACTTTTAGCATCTATTGTCAACTTTTACACAAAATGTGGACATCCAGAGGTTTCAATTGAGGAATGTGAACAATTGAAATCAAAGGGATTAATGAACGATGTTGCTATTTGGAATTGTTTAATTCAAGCACATATTCAAAGTACAACAAATACCCAAAACCCATCTACAATAGAATATGGACTGAACAAAGCAATGGTGGTTTTTAATGAGATGAAGGAACATATTGAACCAGATAAGATAACCTACCTCATATTGTTGGCTGGATGTGGAGAATATTTTGCTAGAAAGATGGGACTGGATATTATTGATGAACTCAAACTAAAAGGAATGGATGTTCATGAGGAGATAGTCAGTGTTATGATCTACTTTTATTCAAGAATTGCTTATCAATCAACTGCACAACAACTATTTGAAAAGCTTGTCGAAGAATCAGCCCAAAAACGTCTATCCATCATAACATATAATAACATGTTGTCATGTTACGCTCAACATGGAAAAGGAACACAAGCCATGAATTTATTTAATGAAATGGTTGCTAAGAACGTTGAAATGAACGAGAACACATTCACAATCATGCTGAACACATTTTCACATTGTGGAATGATTGATGAGGCGAATCAACTTTATGGAGAAATGAAGACAAAATACAACCATAATCCATCAGTAATTGTAGACTGTGTAATGGTTGATGTCTTTGCCCGTTCAGGAAGATTTCATGAGGCAGAAAAAATAATTAACGAAAGAATGAATTATTCTTTGTGGAGTGCTTTAATGGCAGGATGTAGAAAGTTCAATAATGTTGAAAAAGCTGACAATATAAGACAATTAATGATTGAAAATGGAATTAAAAAGATACCAGGAATTGTGTATCAGGAAGAGGATGGTAAATCATACCAATTTGTTTCTGGATCAAAAAAATATGAAAGATTTAAGGAAATTGAGAAAATGAGAGAGGAGATTTACAGAAAAATAATCCAAGCTGGTTTTGAGCCAGATACTAGATGGGTAACTAACTCAAAATTATTAACTGAAGAAGAAAAATTAGATTCACTTTGTAGACATGCTGAGAAGACAGCAACAGCTCATGCATTTGTTTTGAATCCAAAGAGAAAATCAATTATTTTAGCGGCAAATCTTCGTGTTTGCAATGATTGTCATACTGCCACAGAATTCATTTCAAAAGTGATGGATGTTGAAATAATTATTAGAGATGCAAATAGATATCACCATTTTAAAGATGGTAAATGTAGTTGTGACGGATATTGGTAAGGAGGATCAGATCTAGCATGACAATAGGTGCATAAATGAATCATGTTATTAAGACTGAACACTACAAACTATCGATGTTATTGGAATAGCATAACAGACAATTTTCAATATTGATATTGGCATCGTTTTTGGAACGAACATAATTAGTTTTTAGGAATGCGAAACTGAACTAGTTCAGAAATTACTTTAATCATCAAAGTAGCACATTTCTCCCTCTTTGAACTGGTCATATCCCAGAGAAACACAATATCCTTTTGAAGAATAATCTTTGAATGTCTCAACATCTTGAACATTATACACAGTCTTTTTACACTCCTTACAAAAACTTTCATTTGACCAAGTATCCTCTAACATGCTGAATTGTAATGGGCACTTGTAAATATATTCACAATTCTCAATAAAACTAATACTACTCAAACTTTTGTCTTCATCATTCCATGTTTCAGATGGAATTCTGAAATCATTACCATGAATCTTAATGTGAGCTTTTCTCCTTCTCAAAACATGCATCCAATTCTTAATGTTAAGTGCCTTTTCGAATCTTGGAAAATAGAAACAAACTAAAGGTTTCCAGATATGAGTTTGAACATAATGAAAATCTACACTTTCATCATTTACAGGCTTTTCAATTTTCTTTTCTCTCGGCTCTTGATTAAAAAGTATTTTCAAATGTGCAGAATTTGCTTGTGAAAAACCAACCAGCTCTCCCAATTGACAATACATGGCAATGTGAATAATTAATTCGCTAGGTATTTGGCTCCATAACGAAGGATTATTGTCGGAATCTGCTAGTTTTGTAGAGAGATTTGTGTCGGTAACATGAGACAATTTCAGTGAAAAATGTTTAATTGTAACAAAAGGAACAAGATTCAAAAGTTCATCTTGATTGTAGTGTGTTAGGAGAGTTATTCAGCAATTGCCCTCCCAATCACCTCAAGAACTTTAGCATTAATTCTCCCAAGATTCGTCTATGGGAATAGTGTTTGTTGTATCGAGTGCGGTTCAGAAAATTGTTCAATTGGGAATTGTTTTCTTTGCTCTGCCTGGTCTAGGCCATTCTCAATAATGGGAATTTCATATTTGCAATCATGCCACTTGCACATTAGATTTTCAAATGTTTAAGTTCTTTAATGAAATATCAAAAATTAAAAAAAAATGCATAAAAACAATTCACAAGGAAATGTTATGAATTTTGTATTGTATTTGGTTTTGGGATTGTTGATCGTGAGTTGTTGTGGTGTGCTTGGCAGTGATTGTCCAACATTCCGATCAAAGAATTACTTTCCCCGAATGTTGTATGAAAATGATGGAACAATTTTTAGTGATGAATATTTAACAATGAGGGATGGTGTAAAGATTGCCTGTGATTTGTATTTACCTTATAGAGCAGTGAATGAAAATCATAGATTACCAACTCTTTTGCATATTACTAGATATAATAGATCATTTAAAGTGAATTTTCCATTCAATTACTTGTTTGGAGAAAAGCTCAGTATTAGAGGCATTCCATTCAAGAAGTTTGTTGCCAGAGGATATGCTGTGGTTTCATGTGATACTAGAGGTACTGGTGCAAGTTTTGGAAGTCGTCCTTATGATTTTCATAGAGATGAAGTTCAAGATTTTGGAGAAATTATGGATTGGGTTGTAAAGCAAAAATTCAGTAATGGAAAGATTGTATCAACAGGTATTTCGTATGATGGAATGGTTAGTGATTTCTTAGTTTCATTGAATCACAAGAGTTTGGTTGCAGTTGCATCAGTAAGCTCTCCATTCGATCTCTATAGAGATATCATTTATCCTGGAGGTCTTTATCAAAAATCATTTATTGACCATTATTTGAAATTTACTCAACATGTCGAAAAGTTTGGAGTTGCACCACAAAGAGATAATATCTGTCCAGGATGTGAACCTGACTCTTGAGAGAAATTTTGA